TGATTACCACGTGACAGCCCCACAGCCACCTAAAACAATATGGCGTGTGTGGTGGTCACCCATCTCAGCAATAACCAGGCACTTTTTCCTCTGCTTAGTTTCCGAGATCTCATGAGACCAGGACATTTCGTCTGATTTGTTCAGAGGCACTAAAACGATAATCGTCATGTATTACTTTTTGAATATGAGAGTCATACAATATGCAAAATATTGTGTACAGTAATTGCCAGAATAATCCAGCCACGTGGGGCTGTGGCAAATTACTTAAGTCATAATTGCTAAGTTTAGGTCTCAATCCCGGTCAGAGACATATGTAAGCCCATGCGCCATTTAGCTTACATCAATTCAACATAGTTAAGTATCCAAGGGTGAGCCTGGCCCCATCCATAGTAATGTGGAATCTTCACCACTGGCTTGGGGCCACCAACGGAAATGGGGTATCGCCCCATTCCCATTTCCGCAGGGAGACGCTTGGAATAACTTTACCAATTCGGATGAACAGTAATTAGCATCTAAATGAGACTTCATGGCAATAACCTGTACCTAAACAGTCGGCATAGTTACGGTATAGACCAGGGGTCACGAGCATACGGCTCTTTAAGGACTGCATTGCTGCTCGTGAATTTTTGCGTTTTTGTACCTAATTTTAAAAAGGCTCTTCTTGTTATTTTGGTTGCCGACCCCTGGAACAGACAGAGGCAATCAGTCGTAGGCAGAGGAATGCAGCTGCTTTGCATAGTTGGCTATGTGCTCGTAAAAATCTAATTCAGGCATATCACACACGAGGCAAACACTCCTAAAACTTGACTTAAAGTTTTCGTGACTGCAGGAATTCAAATTCATATTCCTGCAGTCATAGGTTTCGTTGCGATCGAAACGTCGTAGTATTTTTTATTATTTTCTCTGAACCTATCTACGTGACTTTACCAAAAGACCCAAGAATATGCTACTTATACTTGCAAAGAGAATTTAAAATTGGGGATCAAAGGTGGGAAATGATGACAGCTATTTGTGGTCTCTCCGTGCTGCTGCAAATTCGCATGATCACAACGGCTGAAAAATGTGTTTGATCTGAGCTCCTCCTGCACATTCAAATTCACAACCTCGCGGAAATGCTTTCTTTGCTGCTATTGCACCTATAAGGGGGAATGACCCAGGGTAGGTGGATGAGTGGTGGTGGTGGATGAGTGGTGGTGCTGGCCCAGTGGGGGACCCCAAACAAAAAATAATAACTTTGAACTCCCCTCCATTTTAATTGATAAAGACCGAATAAATGACAATGTATAGACAAGAGATGTAGTGAGATAAGATAAGTATAGACAAAATCAGAGATGTTGCGAGATTAAACGAAAAGAGAAATGCAGACAAGCTAGAGATGATTGTAAGTGTTAACTACAGTATTTTGCATTCATAGGGGCGCTTTAATGCCTCGGCATCTCAACACTTCTCGCGTCTGGAAGTCTACATAACATCATCACACTTCATCTGAACCATTTAAAGAGCACCCGCAATGGCAGCTCTGCCTCTGCGGGACAAGGCGACTCAGCGCTTGCTGGCCTGCAAGTTAAAATATGTCTGCGAGTAGGGGGCGATTATTGCTCCATGTATTTGTAATCCACATTGAGTAATTTTGTTGAGGTTTTAATTTGAGCTGAAATTTCATACACCCCTATTATTTTCTTAAATCCGGGTATCCAATTAGCTACTTGGTTCCTAAGGCATTTGCTTGGTTTGCGTGTTCATTGTTCCCTCATTATTCACCAGGGATACATTCCGGAGATGCTCGTGAATTACCTGGAATAAATATGTAAATAATACAACTCATCACTGTATCTGTCATCGCTGTCTTTCTATCTCTCTCGATGTAGCCAATGTGGAGTTCCAGACGCGATTCGCGGACAGCCAACCATCGCGGTTAGCAAGTTCGTGAATAACGACGGAGGGAGCTGTGCCCAGCAGTGTCCATGGGCGAGATCAACCTGTTCATTTCTCTCAAGCAGCAGAAGGCCTCCTGGGCCCCACGTGTCCCTCGTGTGTGGGGCAGACGCTGCCCCTCGATGCAGCCTCGGTCCCCCACACGCCACCTGGTCGGGGGCAGCAGCGCTCAGCGAGAGCTCAACCAACAACCTTCAATGTCCCGCACCTCCGATTAGCAAATAAGTTCCACGTACATACTGCCGGTTGTTGATCATTCACGGGCAGCGCGTCCACTCGGTAAATCGCGACATGCACATGATAAACCTTTATTATCTACTCCCGGTCATGCAAAAGAAGACGCCCAGGGCATCATCGCATTTACATTATGGGGCCCATTCACACAAACTGCTGGCGATTGTTGCTCTGTGCAATGTTATCAGAAACGTGCCGATGTTTCTCGCGAATTTGGGCAAATCACATAGGTTAGGCGTTTCGGTCGGGTGGTCAACATGTGAACTTGGCCCCACAAGTTTTAATTTCAGCACTGTAATTTGGTTAATGTAAGGGAGGTATTTCTTAGGTTTTTTTTTATTTTAGCCGAGACATAGTAAAATAGTAATTTGGTCTGGATTTGAGGTTTTCGTGACTGCAGGCTGATGTGATAGCTGCCTCCCCTGGTGCTTTTTCATTGCAGTTTCGTGACGAGACCAGCGAGCCTAAACATCTTTATACACATACGTGAAATAAGTTACCTGGAGTATGGAAGGCGAGGCCATGAAATGAAGGGGTCTACAAACATTACATTGGTGACATACTGAGATAGTAACAGGCACACGCTTATTGCCAGCGCTCCATCCAGTTACTGAGGGGTTGCGCAATCAGAGGGGAGGCTGAGCTCGTCGCTGCCTCACCTCTCGTCTCTTCTTGTATTTGCAGCGGAGCTCAGCAAATTTGGCGATTTTGACTATAAAAATGATTGGAATCGTACAGAAATTACATTTATAACACAGATCAGTGGGAAAATCTTAATGTTTATTTGATTTGATTCTTTTTTAAACTTTTAGTAACGGCTATTTTCATTGGAGTATGACAGGTGAGGCTCTGCCTCCCTTTACCGCACGTCCCTGCTCTAATCTAATGTTTATTTGAGGCACCATCTTTCACTGCACCATATAGTGCATATCCTGCATATACTTTCATGATTTTAACATGTCAATCCAAAGCTCGTGCACTATTTAATAAAATGAACACACCATTTATTGAGCAAGTTGAATTTTATCTATGGCTAAAATGTGACAGCGCTAACATCCACCAGCACTGGTTCTGCAATATTTCAGGAAAAAGCAGACACGCCAAATCATGTTATGTGCGGCACTACTCTACTGAACACAATACAAGCAGCACGCAGCTCCCTGCCACATCCAGATCAAACAACAAGTGCCAATGTGCTTTTTCATGAACACCAGATATAAAGTTATTCACACTACGAACATACCAGACTGGTGTATGAAGCATCAGTTTGACTCTTCAGCACACCGCCTTTATGCATAAATTGTTAAATGTAACGTTCAATCGTTTAAAAATATATACTCATACAATCTGAAACCCTACTTGCCAGGGCTTAATTTCAGGCAGGTGTCTGGGTCAGTGACCCATAAAGTACATTGTTTCCACACCCAGCACACCACATCCAATATACCGCTCACCACGGCTGTGGCTACTAATCGCGCGCTTACTGCAGGCTGCCAGCGACCCGGAACATATTCAGTGAGAAGTTACCTGGGTGGTCTGCACTGCCACGGAGAGGCCCACAGCGGGTCGCCGCTTGTTCCAGTAAGAGGAGAGCGAGTGAGTCCCTCGCAAGTCTCTCGACATGGCCATTGGCACTCACGCACAAACACCGCTTAAACTTGGTCTTCACGTCTCCAATGCTCAGGCACCCATGTCAGCTTTAACTGTCAATGACAGTGGTCAGCGATGACTCAGTTTTTCTCTACGCCAAATGCCTGCAAAGGACCGTCGGTGTCTCGTGTCTACAGCACAGCCATATTTGATCTTACATTTAATCTTCCTCTGAACAATTCCACGACCGTTATGGAGGACGCAGTGCCGGCTGTTATTTATCAGCCGTTTGGTTCATCCCACCTCGCGTCCTCTCTCCCTCCTCGTGCCCCCACCCGGTGGATGCAAGCGGCTTGGGTTGAATCACCGCCTTGAGTGGCGACACAAGAGCCCTCGTCCCCTCTGTATTGACGGCGTCACAGCTGCGCAAGGGCCCACATCTATGGGCCCCCTCGTGGTTCGTGCGGCTCATCATCAAGAGGCCTCAGAGTTCGCCCACGCCGCCGAGATGCTGCCATAGTGATGGCCTTTTGTGTCCCTTTCTCCCCGGAATGACGACAGCAAAAATAACTACCGCTCTGCAGGCCGGAGCGCAGCTGCCCACAGCAGAAATAGTAAAAAGCAAACAGCACTTCTGTTAAAATCAGTTACCAAGCAGAGGGCACAAAGATGAAACCGATTTATAGTTGTCTTTTTGTCCTACTGCTTCCTAAAAAGGTACCGCCACAATTGTGTATCTTGGTGGTTCTCAAACAAGAATTGTGTGCAGCATTGTAGATGCAGTGTGGGCTATGTAGAGCGTGAAAGAAGTTCAACATACATGCATCTGTGCTGTATAACATCAGTACCGTCGCAGGACACCCATCAAATAGATCCTAACAGCTCATTGGAGCCCATCCTGCTGAAATAAAAAATATTCTACCTCATTTGTTTCCAGCCTGAATGCACTTTGCTATTTGATGAATTTATCATTCTTGGTCATGATGCACAACATTGGTAAAAATTGGTTTGTCACCCTAGCGAAGGTCTCCCGTAAGTCCATTCTCAGCGTTAACCGAGTACCCGGTGTGTAACGTGTGAACATCGGAAATGAGCACGACGTGAATGCTGCTGGCAACAAGTGCCCTGTATGTACCGTGCCAGCCTCAATAGGTACTTTCAAATAGCAAGTGCCCCTTTAGTCTACAGGGGTGAGTGGTGTTTGTGGATGAGCCTGATCATAATTAAACTGTAAATGTACATCAAAGCATGTTCACTTTTATTTTTTTATAACAGCAGACACCATCAAACTACTGTACTTACAGTTTTGTTGTTATTGCATTTCATAAACGGCTGTGGCATTTTTCTGATCATTTTATAACAAACAAAACGTGAGTTTAAGATAACAGTCGGCAAATTTAATTCGTAAATGACATTGTTTTATAAATGTTTACATGAATCTCATTATGAATGGCAGTTCAATAAAGAGCACACTGTATCTTAACCCGAAGCATTTTTGACATTCTGGCAACGAGGCTAAGTTCACAAAACATGTCAGGTAATCTTCCAACAGAATGAGGAACCGCAAATAAGTGCTGATCGCTTACGCTTCTTGACTATTTACAACGTAACATAGGCAATCGTTTTTCTGGGACAAATTTCAACACAATAAAAAAATACGTATGCATAAAAGTGCAATTTACTGCAAATTACAGCAAAACCAGCAATAACGATTACAGAATGACCAAATAAAATTATCAGAGCAAACTAAAGTGCTGCAGGGATGAATGAATGCGTGGTATGCTGCATGTGGGGTTCATTTTCTAATATGAAGCAAAGACGAGTCTTATCTAGGCAATGAAAGGACATCATAAATTACTAATTACTTGCTGTTTTTACTTAGACTTATAATATTACCAAGCCAGTATGCAATATTGTACAATAATATTTAGACTTAACATGTCCTATAAATGAACAAGCTGTACATGTGGAACAGATCATAAAATTTGTAGATCTTATCTAAATGTCGGAATATATCAATCAGATTTAACAGAGCGAGATAACGATGTTAAAGCAATAATAACGGTAATGTAGGCGCCCCAAAACTTAATATATTTTGATATTTCTCAGAAATACCACAAGAACTTACAGAAGTGATACCGATTTCAGAATTTTAAAAACCCAATAATGTCTCAACAGAAACACAGTATTTTTGCGAGTTTACTGTAGAGTACGTTCACTTGCTGTACGCTTAAGAAAACGTTGCCCAATGTCTCTTTGCAAAGACATACATGTCGTATGTACGTTGTACATGTGTACTTTGTGCTCTCCATAGTTGTGTCACCTTCATGACTGCTGCGACCAAAGGAACACTTAATTAGGCCTTAATTTCACCTGGGTCTGTCCTGGTCGGCATCCCAAACAATATTTCCACAACCGGCACGCCGCATCTAGTACACCTCTTGGTATGGCCGCGGAAACTTGTCACACATCTGCACTCTAGTCCAGCAGTTACCCAGAAAATATTCACTGAGAAACTAAGCCCTGTGTGTCACAAAACTGTTACCCACAGTCCCCGATCCATCGCTCTCGTTGAACTCGGCCTTGATCTTGTTCTGTCGGAGGCCACTCACCTGGCTCAGTCCTCTGACACAAAAAAAAACAGTTCCCGCATCTCTGTCACCCGGCCTCCCGGCTCGGTGTTGCGCAGCGCTGGGTCACACAGCGTCCTCGCCGCTGCCTGACAGCGCCAGCGAGAAGCTGCCAGACAGCGAAGAGGCGTCGACGCAAGATGCCGCGTTGCTGGACAGTGCGGCCCAGGTGGCTGGTCGCCCCCTGCGGAGTGAGTACGGCGTCTTCACCCTCCTCTTGATGCGCTCGGCTGGAATCGGCAGCTGACCTGAGGGGTGGAGGGCTGCGGCACAAGCAGCGCGTCGGCAAAATTATATGAAACTTGTTAAGTGCTGTCATGGAGGATGGGGGATTAGAACGTAGTGAACGTAGCAGGGTGTCTCTCGTCGCCTATGAAAATGTTATGTTTGGGTCATGTGGACTAACAACCAAGGTCAAGTATGATTGTCACCCACAATTCAATGTGTGTACCATGAGCTTTAAGAATTTACATCGCAATGGATCATCACACCCCTGATTTTAGCTCTTCAGCATTGTGGACCAATGTTTTCCAGCAGAATTTGGCTGGGCACACATTTTCTGTGATTCCAATAGAAAAAAAGTTTTTCCTTGGCAATTTAATTAACATTAAAAAGTGCATGTATAAGAGGCAACTCCCAGTTAAGTTCCAAAACATGGACCTCCCTTTACCAGCAATATCAGTGCTCTCGACTGACGGCCTCTCTTTACAAAGTAATTAAACCCACTATTTCTGTATAGCATCTGGAAATGCGCTCGTATTTATACGCGATATGAATTCAAATTGTATTGCGATTAAATTGTAAATACAATTTGAATAAAATGGTGCCATAGGACTCGTGATGGATTATGTAATTTCCTTTACACGTTATTTCCTACAAACCCCCTTTATTTATAGACATCGTTGTGATTCTGCTAAAAGTACTTAATCATTTATGTACTTGTACTTCCTGTTCATGGGAAAGGGCAAGGATTATTTTTTACAGTGGTTATTGTATGGATCAGACCACCTCTAGAAAAACAGGTCCACCTATACAACGGGCCCAACTCGCCACATTTCCCTGCATCAGGCATGGTAGACTGGTGTGGAGCTACGTTGTGTTAGTTTGTGCCACCACCCCTACTATAAGCTACCGCGGGAGCCGCCCGACAAACAGCCATCTGCACTGTGGCAGGTTGCTCCTTATGGTTGCGGCTATGGGACAAATAAAAAGGCTGATTGAACGCGACAGTCAAGTTATTGAGTAAACTAAATGGTTACCTGCTTCCCGCGAGACGCCTCCAAACAGTGCCTTGCCCAGGTCCAGCGAGTTTGGCCTCCGCAGCCTTCGCTCGGCCAAACTCCGGCTCTCACAAGCAGCAACAAGCCCCCTGGCGCTTTCCTCTGCCGCTGTACCGCAACCATCGCCGCCGCCGCCGCCAACCCCAACAGTGCCACTGCCGCCGCTGCCACCAACCCCACCAGCGTCGCCGCCACCACCGCTGTTGTTGTTGCTGTTGTTACTGTTACCAGACCTCCCCCTCGAATGGTGCCTCTCACCTCTCAGAAGCGGCGCGTGTTCGTCCTGGACGCTAGGCGACTGCGAGGTGGAGTCTCGAGCGGTAGACAGCCCGATGGCAGCCTCCCTTGTGGCTGACTCGCCCGGCCTGCGATCGTCCTCCACGGCTGTCTCAGCCACGGGGCGAGCAGCATTCACCGCCACGGTCGCCGCCGCCGCTTCGTGCCGGATGTTCGACTTCTCATCCCTGCCGTTGCCCGCTTTCGCGCGGAGGCCTCTGCCGTTGGCCGTCGTCGTCAACTGGAGTGGCAGGGTGCTAGGCCGCACCCTGGCGGCCACGTTGGGCTGCTTGGGCAAGGGCGGCCGTGGCGGCGTCTGCAGGGCCTGCGAGCGCAGCAGCCGTGCGTCTGGTGGTGCCATGCGCCTCTGCTTGTCGCCGATGGCGGAGGCGGCCAGCTGCACGAGCGGGCCTAGTTTTAGCGCAGCGCCGTCGAAGCACTTCGACGAGGCCGTCTCCGTGAGGTTCTCGTCCGAGCTGTCCTTCAGGTTCTTGTCAGCCTCGGTGGGGTCGAGCTTAACTGCTTGCAAGTCAGCGGCCATCATCTGGAGACGGGCAGGGCTGGGGCCGGACGCCGCCGCGACACGCGATGCTTCGGCCGCGGTGGCTTCGTCGAGCAGCAGCATGCCGCCGACGTTCCGGACCGGGACGCCAGTGGCGGTGTCGTCGCCGGTGGGGGTGGCACTGGACAGGGTGGTGAGGCTCGTCTCGGGAGACCCCGGGGGGGCCCCGTGCCACCCTCGGCCCATGTTCTGGAGGTTTTTCTCGGTAGCTGCCCCCGACACGGATGTACTTGTGGAGATGGAGCTGTCGGCGCGCGCGTCGGTTGAGCAAGAAGCACCATCTGCGTCGGACAATCCTGTCCTGGGGAATCTCCGGATCTGAACTGTGTTCCTGGATAACGGAGAATGAGCGTTATTCAATAACAATTGTTCATAACGGCATGACCCAAAGATACAAAAAAGCTCATATCGTGTACATATCCAGCCACGCTGTTCGCTGATGCACTTATTAATGATCAAGGAGACGTTTTGCTTCACGTGCCAAGAGCTTTTCAAGAACCGAATCCAGTTCCCCGCATGGAAAGTGAAACGTCGGATATCATGCGTAACAACAGGCAATATAACACAAAAACCCACTGGAATGCTCATACAGCACAGGCACGAAAACACACAATGACATTTACGTTCGTAGCCACCAGGTCCTGCTCATGGTAATCTCTCCTCTTCCCAGCAGAGCATGCTTGATCTTGATTTCCTCCTATCGGGCACGGGTGCTGCTTTAACACAAACGTCGGTGGCGCGGCAGCAGAAGCAGCACTCGCCTCTCACTGTGGCCGGCTTGGTGTGCCGGCAGGCATGGTGCGGCATGCACGTTGCCGTTGCCGGTGGGGCTCAGTGGGCGGGAGCGTTCCCAGGCCATCGCGAGCTCCGCAATTCGCTCCTCGGCACAGTCGGCCGTGAGCCTCGCGTCCGCGTCCTGGTCCCAGCAGTCCTCCATCGTCTCCTTGAGTGAGCGCACAGCCTGCCGCGTGCACACGGAAGGGACGCAGCGCGATGCACAAGGCTCGCTTGGCCGGTACGGCACAACACCTCGCCGGGGTGGCGGTGCTCATCTCTGTTGCCAGCTCTGAGCCAGTGGTGCCAAAGTCACACTACTATGGTGGGGGCCAGGCTCTTCGAAGAACATTGTCGATTTTCCACACAAGTGTACTCGTTTTCAATCTTGATTTTAAGCTTTCGTGACTGCAGGAATCCATACTCTTTGGCTCTTTTGGTAAAGTCACGCGGGTTGAAAAATAATAGATCACGACGTTTCGATCGCAACACAAGCAATCGTCATCAGTTTTTTCTTGCTGTGGTTGTCCCACCTGAAGACGGTTGCTTGTGTTGCGATCGAAACGTCGCGATCTATTATTTTTCTACCTACGTGACTTCACCCAAAGAACCAAAGAGTATGTACTCGTTTTATTTACCCTGGAGTGGCGGGGGCTGGATCATGGACAGAGTCGATAAATGGAAGAGATTTTAAGTTGACGGGCTTGGAGTATTCTGATATAGAGCTACAATACTGGGTAAACAACACGCCATAAACCTCGACAAATGGCACGGAGATTTCGAAATAGCTCATGGTGCTTGTCATGGCGGTAATGTGAGCACTGCATGCGTCCGACCAGGGCCTGTAACAAAAAGCACCGTACACGCTGACCAGTATTATTTATTCTGGCAAAGCGCCACTCCTCGACCTGGCTTGCCAAAGCATTAATGCAAACCCTATACGGAAAATGGTATAATTACCAAAGGAACAGTACTCGGCCAACCAGAGGTATAACAGATCGGCTCCTTTTAAAAATCTGATTTTTTTTTTGGTTCCACTACAGTGCAAGCCAACCCATTGGGGACTTGTCAATCATTCCACTGGCGCTCCAGTCCTCCGAGCGTTGGGGCGTCTCACAGCCGTATAAGTATTCATAAACTTACAGCGGTGCTCGCTGTACACAAGTGCAATTTCACAAACTTAAGCGGCATTCTTTGCCCTTTTTTTTCCACGTTTGAGCAAAAAGCTGCCAAGTCAAGCGAAGGTTGTAAAAATGAAATGTACTCCCCGGCCTGCCTCTCTCCTCTCCTGATTGGGGCATGTGTTTTCAATATTTGCTAAATGCTGCACCGCTCGCGCTCTTTGGAAACAGAGCTAAACAAACAGTACCGTCCTGAAGCCGGCACTGCGTGTGCCCAACAAAATCGACTAAGTCTAGGAACGACATTTGACCATTTCACCCTGAGAATGTGTGCAATGATCGTTTGTTTGATTTTTTATCCACGTTTGTTATAAAATAGAATGCATTTATTCTAAAAGCCAGTGTCTTGTTTTTTTTAATTCAAGAAATCATGCATGCAGGGGTTGCTCATTACCACTGACGACTTGGAGCCAGTGACCGAAAGTCCACGTTCCTATAGTAGGGCCTGATCAACCATAGAATGGCCAGTTTGAAGTAGACATCTTGACTAGCAATCAAAAGTTGCGAGTTCTAATCCTAGTTGGGGATGGACTTGGCCCCTTATTCCTCCAGCACTGGACAGATGATTTAAAATATATATTTGTGTCTGTGTCTGTGCGTATCTACGATCCATCCTGGATTTGACCAGATTGGATTATGTAAGCTCACAATTCCTTGAAAAATCTGGACACAGGCCCATTGGTGAGTTCGTCTGGCAGGCAAGGCTGAGTTGGCTGGGTCATATAGCATGCCCAGCCACCGCATGCCCAAAAAGCTTTTGTTCGGCTGGATAGAGGGGGCTAAACGGGCGCGGTATGGGCTAGAGAAGAGATGGAGTGATGTAACAAAAGAGGATGTAGAGCTGAGTGGATTTGCCAATTACTGGTACCAGCTCTCGACAACAGCACTTGCCCCAATAGTCTATTGAGGCTATATAATCTTTGTCTTTGTATACATACGTGTGCTTGCCTGCGTGCGTGCGTGCGTGCATGCATGCGTGTGTTTCCTCACCAAACTGTTTTCTTTCCACGTGTCGGGAAATCGAGGCCGCCGCTTCTCCCGTGACACCAGCACCTGCATCTCCTCCACCGTCGGATGGCTCCCTGCCTCCTCCTGGAAGGCCAGCTGGAAGTCTGGCACCGACTCCCCTGCAGGCGGGATCGCGCCTCTTTAGCCCCGATTCAACCATGGCCACGAGCTCCGTAAGTCAGTACACATTTGGTATTTACACAATTCTTATAGCCCTGGGCTACCATGAAGGTGCTGTGTTTCACAGACGGATTTAGTCTGTTCCGAAAGTAGGGAGCGATGTTGCTAGGTGTTAATCCTAATTGAGTAATTTTTCAGGTAATTTGGCAAATTCTAAACATTTTGACCATGACACTGGCAAACAATGGCCTACTTGTAACATGTAATGTCAGGGGATTTTTTAATGTTCGCTGCAAAACAGAAAGCATTTTTTATTTTATGAATACACCCATAGCAATAACCAGGGCAGCCTGCTGGATTCGAACCACGACCCTCTGCAGCATACAGAGAGAATGTACTACTGCTGGACCCTGTCCCGTGCCAAGCGCTTGTCTGGGAATGTGATACCATAAGTAAAAAAAAACAGGTTTACGGGGTCGAAATATTGAATAATGCAGAGCCAAATACCTTATTTTATACAAAACATTAACCAATTAAAAAAAACCGGCATAAATATAAAATAGTAAAATAATGGTTCAGTCATTTGTCAATCTATTACTGCCTGAAGACCCCCTTTATGCCATTGTTTGACCATATTTCACCACACTGATCAGTACCGGCTGGCAAAGAGAGGGCGGGGCGGGCGGGGGGGGGGGAGGTGAAGTGCCCAGCACAAGTTTAGTTGTCACTCTCGACCGTTGTTCGCTGGAGCCGGGAATCGAACTCGAGTCACAGAGTTGACAGACCAGAGCGCGAACCACTGAAACCACCGCTCCATTTAAACATTTAAATGCCTGTGCACGTCCACAGTGCAAACAGTTGCAGAGCCGGGAGCGGGGGAACGGACCGGGGAAGAGGTCGGTGCAGCGCGTGAAGATCTCCCAGTAGACGAGGCCCAGTGAGTAGACGTCCACCTGCTTGAGCGCCGACTCGCAGTCGCACAGGTTCACGGCGCCCTCCAGCACCTCGGGTGCCATATAGCGGATAGTGCCCACCTGCAGGAGCGTCACAAGCACACCGCCACCACGCCCAGGAGGCTCGCGGTCCACGACAACGGCAACAGCAGTCATTCGCCGCCAAGTGATGGCGACGCCACCACAGCGCTTGTGCCAGGCTGGGTGGGCTTAGAAGCCACGAGGCTCGCCCTCCCGGCACGTCTATCTGCACTCGTCCCCCTCTGAGGAAGCTCTGTTCCTCCCTTGTGACGTCTGCCATTGGTTATGTTTTCTGGAAAGTTCAGTTTCCATCCGTGCTAGCCCAGGCGTGCCGGGTCACACGCAATGTGCACGGGTGAAATTGTCAAGTCGCGATCGAGCCCTTTCACAGGCTTGCAGACAAACGTGTGTCCATTGTCACACGCTCATGGCCTTCAACACTCGACGCTTACGCTCGGCACACATTAACTCACAGCACCACACGCGGCTGACTTCGTCTCCCCAGTGCCGATGTTTGCACGATGGACCTGGTTACTCATTTCAGGCGGAGTCGACATTGAGGAAGACCCAAGACTGGTTCAGATATTCGCCACCCACGATGGCTGCGCGCTAAAACAGCAAAGCGCACCGGAGACGGTCGGCAAAGAAATTGTCAGCGCACCTCACTGATGGCGGCCGCCTCCTCTTCTCCGGGCCGCACAAGCCTCTGGCCCGAGAGCCGCATGGTGAAGCCCAGGTCACTAAGCACGCAGCTGCCGTCGCCGCGCACCAGCACATTGCGGCTGTTGAGGTCGCGGTGCGCGAGCGCCGGCTTGTGCTGGTCTGATGTCCAACGCCGAGAGGGGGTGGGGGGAAACGGGTTCATGGGATAGGACATAAATAAATAAGTAAACGAACTAAACATCAATCAGTCACACAAATAGAATAAAATCAAATTATCTCCGTACACGCATCTTTGGACGGCGTTTAGGTTTTGAGGCGCGGTCAGAGTTGGACACATTTATGCATTGAAGCTGAATTATATAAGTGCCGAGGTGAATGTTCGTGGGGGTTTTTTTTACGGGCAATGATGTTTCAATAGTGTTGTTGGCATCGAGTTATGATGGGAGAAATTTCTCTCACAGCAAGCAAAAGTTCAACAGATATACATCGTCACATGCAGGGGAATGTCGTCGGGAAGAGGACATCACCGGACTACTTCTAATTGTAAAATGTTTTGCTCATGTACCTAATTGTTACATTTGGTCGCAAGAATTGTTTTTCAACTTATTGATGAGTTGATAATAATAATAATTGGTGCGTTAAATGCTTGAACACATGAAAATTCATTTATTTGGCTCTGTTGGGTGGTGGAGGGTTCTTAACAGCAAATTCCATTTGATCATTACATTGCCTAACCGAAAAAGCCATTAGGAATCAGAACTATTGCTGCAATTTCTTGATGCTCCATTATGCGCTTTACAGAGTGTTGGTCGCATGACGCTCAAATTTAAATACTCAGTTGTCGACATTACGAAAAAAATCTAATATACAGTCTTCTTGTGGCTGGTGAGTGGGGTGAGACTCACAACCCACGACCGTGCAGTTTAATAATGTGAGGTCCAAGATTTGAGCCCCAGTGCTCTGATGTGGTGGCCATTAGCCCTGTTAACAACCTGGCAAACACTGGATTTCTATTTTTAACGACTATCCATGAGTGACCAGGAAACAATGTAGATGTGAGTCCTATTGTTCACAGTCAATGTTATCTGGACGCACAGCCTCCGAGTGGGATGTGTTTGAATCAAAACACTTGTTTACCTGGTAGGTAGGGCTTATCTACTGCAGTTAATCACCTTACAAAGAAGCAGGGCCAACTCACAGCAGCTGCAGCAGCAGCAGCAGCAACAACAATACCCTCCAGATTATTATGAAATTATCACACAAAGTCAATGCTCACACAGCATTCCATACACAATCCTGGAACTCACGATATATGGCAAAGTGTTAAAAGACTCCTTACACACATCCCTTGTTCCATGGCCAGGAGGAAATGTGCTGGCTCAGTGCTTGCACTGGGCAACGATCCAACAACCAAATATTGACCCAAATCGTACACTTAAGAGCACAGATGACCTTGACATCAGTTAACAATAACAATCAGTGTTTATACATTAAAAAAAAACTGGACACACCACTGCCAACAGAGCATCACCAAATAATTTGTATTGTTTTTTTAATAGTGTAATTCATACAAACTGCATCTTTCTTACAAAGCCGCAATTAAGGGAGGTGCAAACATAAATGAATATATTTTCAGCCAATGAATGAGTGTTTATGCATGTGGGAGGAAATCGTCGCACCCGGAGAAAACCCACGCGGTGCCGTACGTAGAACGTTTTTTCGCACCGTACTTAACCAACTATGCTGCTGTTCCAGGGCAGCGCCTAAGCTGTTCTTGGACCAGCAGAGCCTGGTTCCAATTGGCCCTAGAAACGAGGCTCCTGATGTCTACATTTGCTTAAAAAGGCCTTTGTAGTTTCAAAACTATACCTATAAAGAGATACTTCCAGATCCCTTCCCCACTCCTTTATCCTTCTCCCACAATTGCTCCACTCAACTTATTACCCCTTTTAACCTCCTCATTGCCACCCACGGCCTCCCCTCGACCCACCTCATTCCCTCCCCCACAGCTTCTCTCCAGCCATTCCAGCATGCAGTGAAGGTATTTTTGTTGTTGTTGAAGCAATCGTCAGAAGGTACTTGTGATAAGGGCAGGCAGATATGCAGCTGTTTTTTTTAGTTGCATAATATATTTTGCTCCAACATATTTCAGTGTGAACGATTACTGTAAATTTGGTGTGTTCACTTAGTCTTAATTTACGATATTTTTTTTTATAATTATTGCTCCATATTTTTTAGTATTGGTTGTTGTTGTAACTTTAAGATCCGCCCCTATTGAACATCTACATTACTAAAGCATAAATAAAATTCTGATTCTGACATACTAATATATTTAAATAAGTTTATTGTCAATACCGAACACTTTGAATCTATTGTAGGTTATAACATGTTTGTGACTTTCGTTTATCATTCCTGATAATTTGCACATTTTATCAGAGTACTTGATGTTTTGCTTACATTCAGAGAGCTGGGGAAAACCTACAAAGTGAGATGGTGGGAGACTGTAAGAGCACTTCTTAGGTTGGGTGTCAACTGTGCAACAGCTGGGATTTCGTCAAAGGAGGATTATTAATGGGAGCAGTTCTAATGACCTCTTGACCCTGCACACTGGAAAATATTTTATTCATGTGGGAAATTCCATGGTGACAAATTACGAGACTAGTCCCAGGACAATTAGCCACAGCAATAAAAGAGTTCTGAATTTTTTTTGTACCAAATACAAAATTACGAATACAATGATTACATATTCTTGGTTCTTTCGGTAAAATCACGTAGAAGGGAAACAATAAAATAATAAAAATATAAAATGTTATTGTTTTATATTTTTATTATTTTATTGTTTCCCTTCTATGTGACTTTACCGAAAGAATCAATAATATGAATCCCTGCAGTCACGAAAGCTTTAAATTAAAATGATTACATGTTCAGATTAGCATGCACTCTGTCACGTACTATAATTTCGATTCATATAGAAGCTTTCTTTCATTCATTCCATTACAGTACGAAACAATGCTAATCTGCGCAGGTTTCGCTTCCAAAAAGGATGTGTTGTCACAGTGGGCTGTCCACTGGTTATAAAAAAGTTAATCTCTGTACGAGTGTTATTTCTCTTTACATACCATATAAAACTAATACACAACCCCTATAATGATGTCATTAGGCAGTAAGGCGTAATTGTGTCAAATGGTGGTGGGCAGTAGAAGCTGCACTGCCGGACCCGAGTGCTTTCATTCCCTCACTCGTTATCAGTCCATTAAACGCCGTACTCTCACTCCTTCAGCCACCCTCCGATCAATTCTCCCTGTCCTGGAAAAAGGTTAATCAGGTCTGACCATCCCAAGAGCCTATCGGTCATTGAACAAGAGGAAAATGAGAAAAAGGCAATCGATGCAGGTCGCCCTTCCGGCAAAGCGTGACAGTGCCCCGTTGCAAGGGAGCCAGGGTTCCCCGGCTTCATGCAATAAATGACCACAGCACGAAGGCTCCTTGGGGTCCGACGCAGGAAAGCAGGTGACCTTGGTGAATTATTTACGGCATGCCATTGTGCTGTCTCATGTCTAATTGTTACAAGGAGAGGGCAACCTCAGCCGCTACACAGATGTGAACAAGGCAACATGATGAAGCGCCTGCCGAGAGGAAAACTGTTGTCTTGTGTCTGCAGGACACAGCGAAACAATCATTATTTTAGGTGGGAAATAGGTAGCGATGTGACCAGAGTAGGTTTAGAATGGTTGGGACATTTGACTCTTTGTAACCTGCAATCCAGGAATCCACACAATCATGTCTCAAAAATATACTTGTAATAACGATTCAGCACAGATTTCGATCAAATGTTTAACAGTTGATATAAATCTCTATAGAACTGTGCTATGAAGACATCTATTGCGGCTTTCCTGAAGCACATTCTTTGGTTTGGCACTTGTGAGGTTTATGTTGGGAATTCCTCCATGATCCTGATAGTATCTGCTAATGATCTCAATTAACGTTGGTGCTCAACTATGCCAAGTTCTAACCAGCTCCAATGCACAAGTCTGTGCCTATGCTCCTGCCCCTTCTGCCCTCATCCCCCATCTGGAGAAGACCGTGGCTGAAGGGGGCTGCCCTGGCAGGGGAATCTGATGACTCAAGCTACACTTCTATGACCACTGGCAAGTGGGCCTGGCGGTGACCCAGGAACAGCCCAGAAATGGCCAAATTGTGTTCAAGGATCAACAGCATGGCTTGGATCCGTACCCCCCACACTCCATGAGCCACAAGGCTCTGTGGTCTCGGCTCCATCCGCTCCATCCTCGCACCCCCCCTCACCTGGCCCCTTCCCTCACCCCCCTCTGTAACCATATCCTTAGGTTTGAGTTAAGCTAATACAAGCAAAAAAACTATTATTTTTGTAACATCCCGCAGTCTTTTAAATCAAAGCCTTCAAGTTGAACTCAACGGCAGACGCCATAACTGATCTCAAGGTTGGCCCAAGTAAAAGAGAATGGCTCCATTAGTAGAGGGAGCTGCCAAGCTTCATGCCTGAGCCCAATTTGTATAGTGTCAGCCTGGCAGGGCTGCCATGGCCGCACGAGCCAAGCTGGAAAGCCTGTTATAAAATACACATATACATATACATACAAACAGACATATAGAGAGACACACACAGACGAATAGGTTGCCAGGCAAATAGATGGACAGACGGGCATTAAGCCAGTACGGTTTCCAGACATCGTGAAAATGCAACTTTAGCAGATCATGCTTAACCTGTATTGCAGCGCTGAGCCAAGCGATACTGAGACCTTGGGTTTCAAAGCTGGGCTCCTATTACAGATAACATCAGATTCTGATGCTCAATTCATTAGAATGGCCTCCTATAGGTGAATTACAGCTCAATGATAGAGAGGAGAAACACAGCTAACCATCTAAGACAGTACAGGTTTGTGATTTTTGAAAGACTCCTAAGAATATTAGTCCTTCAATATTTAGAAAAGAAAAGTCAAACAATTTCCTTTGGAAACATCAATCCTAGAATAATTGCAGAGTATAAACCGGACGGTTCATTCCAGTTGGAAAGCTTGACAACCCCAGACAGGATATCTCACTCAGTGGCATACCTATTGAGTGTGCAGGGGGTGCAACTGCAACAGCGACCACTGGCAAGAGGGGGTCAGATGCTGGACTACAAAGGGGGAGCGGGGGAGTTGGGGGGGGGAAATTATAGAGGGGCCCCATTTCACTGCTTGCACTGGGTACACATGCCAAGCACACTATGCCACTTTTGTGTTTTTTTATATATATGTGTAGTGTTCAACACGGAGGCACGCACTCTGGACTGGGATGCAACACTTTAATTTAACAACTTCCCTAGCGGGTAACACTGAACGTAACTCAGGTTCTCTAGTAGGTGATGTGGCTCACTATGTGAGTAGCGAGTTAACTCGAGACGGAGACGACGAGACGCGGGACCCCGGCTTGATTCCACCGACGAGCCAAGAACGCTCTCGGGACTGCCCCTTCATGCTCCTGGGCGTGGCCTCGCTCCGCCTTCGGCCACGCCCCCTTCGAGACCTTTCCCGAAGGATCTCGCCCGAGCATCACGTGCCCCACTCAGGCTACCACGTCCTCCCTTGCCCTCTCTCAGGCCATCACCAGGACTATGCCCCCGAGGGCTGGCTGACATGCCGTACTTACTCCAGTGCTATAACAGAGGCTCCAGGACGCACAGTTGCAATCCTGTAACAGTAGCTGGCGCGAACACCCTAGTGACACCATTTACGTCACTACATATATAAACTTTGACGTGTATACACAACGCGACGGTCACATTAATAGGTACCATAAATACAAAATTATACTGAAGGAAAAAGCGCAATGTGTGCACAGAAATAAACTTCACCAAGTGATAGCAAATAGAGCACTAGTCCCTTAATCTTAAAAAAAAAACCTGGCTCAGGGGTGGAGCAAGCGGCTCGCAATCGGAAGGGTGCAAGTTAAAATCCTGGTTGGGGGTTGATTCAGTCCATTCCCTCCAGAGTCGATAACATTATAACCACAGGGAATACAAACGTTTCCGTCCTATGGATAGCCACATCCCCGTCAGAAAAATGTGGAATTTATAACACTGATTCAGGGCTGTAAAACAGGAGCTGAGGACTGCCTCAATGTTTATTCCAGCAGGAAATCACTTGACTTTTGAAAAGAAAATTAGGGAAGGAGGGGGGGGGGGAGGCAGGGAAAGGGGGGGGGGAAGGAAGGAATATCCCGCTCGTGGTTTTGGCGACAGTGGCCCAGGGAAGGACGGGTAGTTCGTACCCCCGCGCACGAGCTCGGCGTGCAGGTAGGCGAGGCCGCGGGAGACGCTGTGCGCCAGCTTGCACGAGGCGAGCCAGTCGCTGGAGATGTGGGACAGGTAGTTCGCCAGCGAGCCCTGTGCAGCGACACCGCGGGAACACAACGACGACGACGACAACGGCGTGCACCTTCTTGTGATGATCCTGGGTAATGCACACAGCGCTGCTGGATTGGCTTGACCGGGCCCCACGCTATTCGCCGAGAGCTCTTGCCTAATAACACTGGGCTACCCTGCAGCATTTGTTTTTGCAGGACACATCTTGGAATTTCACTGCTTAAACGAATGCTACCGGAAAGCATTGGTTCACAACTCCAATAGGTGGATAGAGAAATGTTATGTTATTTAAATGCCATGTGGTTAAATTGACCCTTATCTGCTAACGTATGGCAGACACAAAGGTTTTCTTTGCATACTTGTCAACTCAAGAGGGGCAATGCATCCCTCCAAATCCTAGTGGATAATTTTGAACATGTGCTATTTATTTTCAAAGCCACGTGTATGTAATTAATCATTCTTGTAGCTGATTATTTGCTCATCTTCAAAACAAAGCAAAAACATACCTAATTGTAAAGGTTTTGCCCTAACCTGACAAAGCCTTGCCTCCGATCATATTAAATTATGATTAATGTGGGTTCTACTAATTTAATCTCTTTGAAAATGAAAGCAAGGGGGAAATGTTAAACATTTCATATTGTTATGTTATGCCATTTCCACTAGTTTAGAAGTCAATTAAGTAGTAAAATCAGATTACTACTTCGAAGCAATAAATATGTAAATGTGTTTTTGAGAAGGTGTGTTGCAATTATGAAAATTAACGAGATTGGAGCCTGTCTGTAAGATTCAACAAACAAACACACCACACGGTTTTATTGGGAAACAGAGCGACCATTGAGAGGTTAACGGACAATCAAATTGGTTGTTTGATAGCTAAGCAACTACACGAGACGCTCAGGGTAATGTCAAAGAATTTAAAGAAATATAATGGAACCCAAACCTGTCTGTGCTACAACATTTAGCCTCAGGCAGCTGTTGTGAAAAACAAAAAACAAATCCTTAAGCATTCTGACGAGCATTGAAATGTAACTTCAAATTTGGCACGTCACACAAAATAAGCAATGTAGAAGATTGCTCATTATTTTTATGAAGAACTCATTCCATAGCCTTAAAATCATAATTTTACTACACTAATATAGGCTTCTTGTGGGTTATATAGGTGTAGATGACGATGATGATTATTGGATCGTGATGATGATCACCATGATAACTGCAGATACAGACCGTAGATGTCATTCGGGTGCAACTTGTGGGGCCTGGCATCACGCTGATGATGACGATGCTAATTGAGAGATGATGATGGTGAATGTTGACAATGATGATTGAATGATAACGATTACCGACACTAAATCACAGATGTCCTGTGTGTGTCACCCACGTCAGGGTAGTACTCGAGGATGATGATGTACTCGGGCCGCCCGTCCGCCGCACTCCGCTCCTCGGCCGCGATGAATCGCGCGATATTCTCGTGCTCCATCAGAGGCTGGCGGTACATCTCTTTCTCCGTCACAAAGTTGTGGCGGCTGCCGGCTCCCAGCACCTTCACAGCCACGGGCTGCTCCTCCAGCATGCCCTTCCACACGGACGCGTAGCGCCCCCGGCCGATCACCTGAGACACCGCGGGGAGTGGCGGCGACGCGTCGCAGAAACGTGGAGAGACGATGTGTACCTCCAACTCCGAACACTAAACCCCTGAGTAGCTCTCCGAAATATTTTCGGGTTGTACCGCGTGCTGTTTCGGCACAACATCCGACTTTTCGCTCCGCGTGCTGGGATCTTCTTCAGGAAGCCAAGATATGGAGCGAAATGCTGGATATTGCACCGAACAAAACTAGGTACACAACCCAAAGACACGTCAGAGTGCTATGCAGCACAACCGCAAAAACCTACACAATAGCTTTAAATCTTGCAGCCATTATCAATATAAATGAAAGCTAAAATAACTGTTCCCAACAATTCAACATCTACCCTTATAAGAATATTCGGACTGTATTCCCAAACTGGCAGCATTGAGAGATGCGTCTCAACGCTAGAAATGAGCCTCCACGCTACATGTGATCACATGACCTAATGACACCAATAATTACAGGCACTCAGGGCCGTGAGAAGATGTGCAGCAACACCATCGCAGTGACGTCACCACTGCGTGAAGAGGTTACCGTCACCAAACTACTCTATTGGGATCACACGTAGCAACATCGCTCCCTACTGCCAAACTATATCCGCCTGTGTGACATAGCGCATTGGTGAAAGATTGGCGTTACAAACCAAATCCAGTAAAACCTTGGATTGCGAGCATAATTCGTTCCGGAAACGTGTTTGCAATCCAAAGCACTCGTATATCAAAGCACTCGTATATCAGTTGTGATCACGTGACGCTCGGCAGACAAAGCGTATACGGTACTACCCGTATTGCAGGACCTCGCTCGTTTATCAAATTAATATTCATTTAAAATGTTTGCTCGTCTTGCAAAACACTCGCAGACCAAGTTACTCGCAATCCAAGGTTTTACAGTATACAACAATATTTTTATTACTGTGATGTTGTGGGTGCATCATGTACCCATACCTCTCAGGCAATGCGCATCGATAACCCCCGGTAGGTTGAAATAAAATCTATAGTTTGCCGTTAAAGCGATGGAGGTCGTGCGTGCAGTGTTCCTCGCTGGAACCCTCACCTCGATCAGCTTCAAGCTGTCAAGCGCCAGGGAGGGCAGCGATGGGGCCTCAATCAGGTTAATGTTGTGGAAACTTCCTTTTCTCTTTACTGTAGGCAGAATTATGTTACCATCAGATGTCAATAAAAACACAGCTGCACGTGTCAGTTCGGTTTCGTGTCAGATAGCGTCGAAAACGATAGAATGAGGCAGAAATGTACGCACGTGTGTTCACCTTCTTTCGCACCGTACATAGCCAACCATACGAATCGGAGGTGCGGGGGGAAGGACAAGAAACTAAACGAAAAAAAGCAGCTCTAAAGAAATGAGCTTTCACATATCCAGCCGCACCACCTCGAGTATCTCCGGCGCGAGGCGCACACAGTCGACAACGCGGGTCAGCTTAAACGAGCTTTTCGACCGCGTTTGTTCGGCCCCTGTCTCACAGCAAGGACGAGCCCTGGCTCTCCGGAAATGAACAAGTAAAGAATGTCGCAGGACACCGCTGCATCTCGTTGGAGTTCACAATGCGTAGAGCGTTGCTGCGCGGGCTTCACCGACCCGTGTAGAGGCGGAAGATGAGGAAAAGGATGATAATGATGACGGCCGCAGTGCAGACGGACGTAAACGCGATGATGACGGCCTGCTCGCGGTAGCTGCCGTTCATCGGTGGTCCTGCACACGGCGAAGCAAAAATGAAACGTCGCCATCGTGTCTCGATGCCAAATAATCACCGACGACCGCAGACAAGGACAGCAACGTCAACGCCACGCGCTGAGAAACAATGTCTGTCAAATTAAAGGGCATAAGGGATAACTTATGGGATTCAAACCAAAAAGTTAATTATGCATGGACAAGTGGACAATGCTAACTTTATTTAACCAATTCATAGCAACATGGCAAATATAATATTAAGGAAGCGTTGCCAGTGGTGTACAACAATAATACCCAAACACCGCACCGTGTTCGCCATAAACATAAACCTATACGCTCAGTTAACGGTTCAGGTTCAGATCCTTCTTCAGAGCAGAACTGTGTGTTGTTGTGCGAAAACAATGCCAGAGTTTGATTCAAATATCTTTTGGCGTTTTCTTTGCATTTCTTAGGGAATTAAAATGAGCTTTTTTGTCTTCAGTGTTGGAGTAATTCCATCACAGTTCTATTATTATTTAGTGGCCAGTAAATGCCTATAAAGGCCACTAACAGGGAAAATCACACACATGCCACGATTGAATATATGGCCACCCCAAACGGCACCATGAAATCTTATTATCTATGCACGAGGGATCCAATGATTTGCGGACTAAATAAAAACTATTGTTACGTTCACAAAAGATGGCATCAAATTATGTCTATGAAAGTGTAAATTATATGTTAATGTTACACGTGGCTTAATGGAATAAATAAGACAAACAACACAAAGCAAGATGGGGAAAATGATCATGCAGTTGAGGTAGTTGCAATGAGACAAATCGGAATCAATTCCCCGAATAGTGATAACTCATTAAACCATGGGTTTGGGAGACGTGAATAATGACATGCATAATTGTGAAGCTTGCTGTGGTTGTTACGGCTCAACATTTAATTGGAACATTTGTTTCTGGTGGTGGTGTAAATATTCACGAAGTGGCTGCATAAAACTGCAGTTGTGTCGCAAAAGCATTAAAGCTTTTGGACAAGTGGAGACTATATATATGGTATATCATCAGCCATGATCCCTCAACTACTAAATGAAGGCATCCTCAAGCCACTGTCACAATCCACCCAGCACCTGCAAATAGATTTCATCACTCCATTCTCATTGGCATACATTCTCTCAGATGCGTTCCCTTCCTTCGTTTCCACTCCCAATATTATTCTAGACCATCGTCCATGAACAGTATATACATTGAAATAATAATGACACTGTATTGGCAGTTTAAAAGTCTACAAACATTGGGCCATGACGGACCACATGATAAATATTTTACAAGCTTGGGAGCTTCAATGGTAATCTGTATGCTGCACTCCGTTTACTGTTTATCAGATGGCAATTTTTCAAACCATTAACGAAAGATTCTGAGGCTTCACGGCGGGACGAGAAAACAAGTCTGAAAGCTGCAACATAACAAAACGGGACAGAATAGCAGATTTGATTAAACGTGGTGATGGATGGGAGCGGTTTTTCCACCCAATTGCAAATTTGCAACCTACTTGGCCTCAGATTGTAGCAAAATTATTTTGCGGACAGGAAATCACGGTGGAAATCCACAAACAAAAATACTTGCCACCACGCTGCGCACCAACAATAAACCAGGCGAATGTATTCCTTAAAGGAAACACACCAGCCCTCTGCTGGGCAATGAGACAGTGACAAACACAGGGCAAGCAATTGGAACGCAAGCCACGAACCCGAAGAAGGTGTGCATCGCTTTGGTCATCACCAGTAGAACAGGATAAACGGTAAGCGGCGCATACAAGTGGTCAGTTCGCCTGTCTGCAGATCGTGTGTGGTGGAGTAAAGTGTTGGTATTTCCACCTCTTCCAAAACGTCTGGCCAGCATGGAAGAGGAGGGCAAAATACAGAGAAGAGCACTCTAGAGTTCCCTCCAGTGGGCAGGCCCTTCCGCCAGGAGTGGCATGAGCCTGGAATTGCAGGGCCGCATTGCAAGTCCCATTGCAAGTAGTGAAGCCGATCCCTGTCTCTCCCCCACCACCCTCCTACCCTCCCACCCTCCCAATGTGGAAGTGTTTGTACCGAGACCAGGAAACGAACCGGCGGAGATTATTTTGCTCTAATTGCTGTCTGGAGCCTGCATTTGGCATGGTCTGTGCTATCTGCTTCCGGCCAGACCCCAATCTCCGCGCCATGGTGAGATCCTCTATGGCGAGCGACGTGCGGCCACGTTTAGCCACGCTAATGACCGTCTGGAGACTCTCACACTGTTTGCTCGCAGGTTTCCTGAGCCACGCCAGTATTAATCAATTACGACGCATTCCTCCTCTGCTAATAAGATGCCTGCTTTGTTCGATGTTTATTACGTTAACAGCTGAGACTAGCTCTTATTTACATGTACATTTCCTGCAAGCATGAGTGGGGTCGGCGAGCTATACCCGCCCATAACACTCACTGTGTGCAATCTCTCCTCCACACCATGCCAAGATTATTGTGCGCACTTTAAGTCTGTAACTTTAACATGGTTATTTTTTTTACGAAGGATGGCCGTCAATGGGTCCCAAGAATGTTTTTTTATGATGCTTCTGCTTTTATATAGCGTGCTTTATAGATATACAGTGAGGGAAAAAAGTATTTGATCCAATGCTGATTTTGTACGTTTGCCCCCTGACAAAGAAATGATCAGTCTATAATTTTAATGGTAGGTTTATTTGAACAGTGAGAGACAGAATAACAACAAAATCCAGAAAAACGCATGTCAAAAATGTTATACATTGATTTGCATTTTAATGAGGGAAATAAGTATTTGACCCCTCTGCAAAACATGACTTAGTACCTGGTGGCAAAACCCTTGTTGGCAATCACAGAGGTCAGACGTTTCTTGTAGTTGGCCACCAGGTTTGTACACATCTCAGGAGGGATTTTGTCCCACTCCTCTTTGCAGATCTTCTCCAAGTCATTAAGGTTTCGAGGCTGACGTTTGGCAACTCGAACCTTCAGCTCCCTCCACATATTTTCTATGGGATTAAGGTCTGGAGACTGGCTAGGCCACTCCAGGACCTTAATGTGTTTCTTCTTGAGCCACTCCTTTGTTACCTTGGCCGTGTGTTTTGGGTCATTGTCATGCTGGAATACCCATCCACGACCCATTTTCAATGTCCTGGCTGAGGGAAGGAGGTTCTCACCCAAGATTTTACGGTACATGGCCCCGTCCATCGTCCCTTTGATGCGGTGAAGTTGTCCTGTCCCCTTATCAGAAAAACACCCCCAAAGCATAATGTTTCCACCTCCATGTTTGACGGTGGGGATGGTGTTCTTGGGGTCATAGGCAGCATTTCTCCTTCTCCAAACACGGCGAGTTGAGTTGATGCCAAGGAGCTCCATTTTGGTCTCATCTGACCACAACACTTTCACCCAGTTGTCCTCTTAATCATTCAGATGTTCATTGGCAAACTTCAGATGGGCATGTATATGTGCTTTCTTGAGCAGGGGGACCTTGCGGGCGCTGCAGGATTTCAGTCCTTCACGGCGTAGTGTGTTACCAATTGTTTTCTTGGTGACTATGGTCCCAGCTGCCTTGAGATCATTGACAAGATCCTCCCGTGTAGTTATGGGCTGATTCCTCACCGTTCTCATGATCATTGCAACTCCACGAGGTGAGATCTTGCATGGAGCCCCAGGCCGAGGGAGATTGACAGTTTTGTATTTCTTCCATTTGTGAATAATCGCACCAACTGTTGTCACCTTCTCACCAAGCTGCCTGGCAATGGTCTTGTAGCCCATTCCAGCCTTGTGTAGGTCTACAATCTTGTCCCTGACATCCTTGGAGAGCTCTTTGGTCTTGGCCATGGTGGAGAGTTTGGAATCTGATTGATTGCTTCTGTGAACAGGTGCCTTTTATACAGGTAACAAGCTGAGATTAGGAGCACTCCCTTTAAGAGTGTGCTCCTAATCTCAGCTCGTTACCTGTATAAAAGACACCTGGGATCCAGAAATCTTTCTTATTGAGAGGGGGTCAAATACTTATTTCCCTCATTAAAATGCAAATCAATTTATAACATTTTTGACATGCGTTTTTCTGGATTTTGTTGTTGTTATTCTGTCTCTCACTGTTCAAATAAGCCTACCATTAAAATTATAGACTGATCATTTTTTTGTCAGTGGGCAAACGTACAAAGTCAGCAGGGGATCAAATACTTTTTTCCCTCACTGTATATATAGGAATGTATGGAGAAAAGCAATGCAAAACGAGGGGACAATAATCAAACCCTGTATGAGATATTACCTCTTGTAGCTAAATGAAGACTCTTTGGTTCCATCTCTACATGCTCCACCGATCCCTTCTTCCAAGTTGTATGGTATCCCCGCAACCAAAAAGTAATATTTCAATGCATATATACATACCTCTACACTTTGAATACTACATTGTATGTATACAGTATACTGTGCCAATATAATATTAATACATGTTCACGGATGCTAAAAAGTTAAAGTGTCTTCTTGCTCAAATGACAGGGTGATCATCTCCTTTGGTAGGCCTGTGCTAGTACAAGAGTGGACATTCCACTACAGCACTGGCAGTATATCCATACCACTGCTGACGTTCCACAAAGTGGTTTTGATTTAATTCACTCCAAAGAGATCACATTTCACCTCCATACAACCCACGAACAGAATTTGAATGCCGCATGGCCGGATACACTTGTAAATTGTACACGGAAGTTGTTGTAGAGGTTAAATCTGCACATAGAAGGACATAACAACACAACACGCGCATACATATATTTTACATGCGGCCATAAAGTTGGGAGCAGCAGTTGTTCTATTCACACAAAGCCACCGCAGACTACGCCAGTGCCTCGGGCGTTGCGGGGCGTATATTCAGACTCGGCGACACTAGTTTTATAGGAGCCCCGTTAAACGAGCAAATCAATGCCAGCTGCCACACGGACATGGCAGCGCTGTGGCTGCCCTGCCTCCAGCCCACCATACTTCTCTCGTTCATCATGCCTCTCTCTCG